CACACACACACACACACACACACACACACACACACACACACACACACAATTAAAAGGCTCAAATCAAAAGTTACTCTCGAAGGCTTTCATTACAACAAAAACACAAGTGTGTGACGTAGTCCATCGATTCTTAGAAAAAACTGTGAGACTGTGTTTCTGTGTCCACTGCTGACCTGAAAATGTCTGTCACAAATCTTTCTAGCTGTATCACTGTTCTTTCCTTCTGTTTGTACTGTGCTTTTTCTTTTGAGTGCACTAGATGTCAAGGATACTAAACTTTTGAAAAGCAGGGCTACCTCCAAGAAGAGACAGTTTTTTTTTTTTGACACTTCTCGTTGTGATCTATGTCCGGGATGAAACGGAGACATAAATCAAGAGTACTCGTGAAAGCCGTAAACCTCTCGCACAAAGCGCAACGATTAGGATACTCACAGTAATATAATGACAAGGAAAAACATGAATAAAAAATGTGAGTGCTTAAGCAGGCCAGAGGAGTAAAAAAAAAGTTTGGCAGCTTTTCTGCAGTCAGCCTCTCTGTGTAATGTGAGCGTTGGCAACAATGACAGTGTCTCGACTGAAATTCGACCACAGCTCAGCAACAGACATTCAATCAAAACACTGTGAGGCAACACAGACAGGAAACAGACTGAGCTTACCGGAGAGCATGCTGCACTCTATAAGACAAATACCTAGAAAGGCGCAGACACTCATGTCAGGAAAAGAACAAGAAAAGAAAAGAGAGAGCAAAAAAAGCCACCCTTGCAAAGTCTAAAAACTGCTTGAATATTAGATGGCAGAGAAAGTATTTTGGCTAGAAGCTAAAGTTTGAAGACTGGGGGCCACTTTAAACTAAAGTTTTATTCTTCTGGAGCTGAGAGCGACTTTAATAAATGATCATTAAATTCTGCTAATATTATGGAACACAGAGCTCTTTAGGCTGGGGCCACAGCTGAGAGAAACTGTGCTAATGCTGGACAACCTTCAGCACTTGTTTGCAATGTTTCATTCTTTTAAGACGGGTGCTCCCCGGCTCTAAGTAATGGTGCAGTCATTGTAAAGAGAACATTAAATATTCAACAGCTTGGATGTGCATAATGGGGAGATACGGGCGTCTTATCCTCGTCGAATGTGTGTGAGTGCACTGGGTTTCTGCAAGAAGGGTGTAAGCATACAGTATGTTTTCTCGTTTCTGCAGATGTGTGTGTGTGTGTGTGTGTGTGTGTGTGTGTGTGTGTGTGTGTGTGTGTGTGTGTGTGTGTGTGTGTGT